TTGTTCATCGTGCTTTCGAAAGAGTTGTCCGGCCGCTGACGGTTCTGGATGACGATGAGATTGAACGAGATGCCGATTACTTGGACCAGCTGTGCGGGGAATGATTAATGAGCAGTTGAAAGTAGGAGATTGACGAACGAGAGAGATGCACGCATAAGTCGCATCGTTCTGGAGGACGAAGAGGATCAGGGTGACGGTGCTCATCACGGTGTAGAAGAGCCCCGATTCGACGGCGATGCGGACCCACGGGTGGTCTGTTTGATGGACCCTCCCTCCGACTATGCACACACGTTGTTGCGGTTGATTCAGCGTGGGCAAACTCCCACTCGCGTTCACTGGTGGAGTTGTGCGTCGGATATTCTCTACACGGTACACGCGGATAGCAAGCAGTGCTGCGATCGACGTCATCTCATATTCAGATAATCGCCAACAGACAGTGCGCACCACTCGTGATCAGATTCAATGCGATCTCCACCGCCAGAAAGCCGACCGCCAGGACCCTCGGCTTCTCCACGGCGAACAGACCCTGCACAGAGGAGGCTGTGTAAAGATGGATGACCGATCCCATGAGACCCACAGCAGCCAGCCACAGCACGATGGGGATGGCCACCGTCAACAGCGAGCGGTGATGAACAATCCAGCAGCGGTAGATCTGTAACAGTCAATGCCAAAGCAGGTCCACAGAGCCAGCACCACTGACCATGAAGCCACTGAACACGACGGCTTGGACAAGCAGTGATGTGTCCTGCGGCGGTAAGCATCTGCGTCAGTCCCAAAAAAAAACGACTAACCTGGGCGACGTTCACGGGGTTCCCGCCGTCCAGGAAACCCGCCACCGTCTTCAATACTTCGACCTGCGATGCAGCCTGCAGGTCCATGAAGATGTGGATGCCCATCGAGGACGTCGTTTTCGCGAGGAAGACGAGGAAAAGGATCAGCAGCGGCCAATTGACCGCAGAAAGCCCAGTCCGGCTTCGCGTGTAGGTCGTGAGCAGGACGGGGTAGCAGAACCCGCATGTAACCACGTAGACCCCGAAGGCGAATGTCTCCAAGAACGAGCCCCAGACTTGGATCTTGACGAAGGTGGTAGCGGGCGCCATGGGCAGCAGGTGAAAGCGGCACTGCAGAGAGAGCTTTGGGCTGACGAGATCACGGCAGAAGTCTCAGGATTTGTAACCATGGGAGTTCATGATAGAGTCAGAGCGAAGCTGATTTGGTGCGGTATTCTTGGGCAGTGGATCACAGCGGAACAGATTCTGATAGTGCATGGGAGATGGTGAAAGAGCGCGCTCAGTTTGGTCTCGGAATTGTTCTTTGCGAAGAGTAGGAACATAGTACATAGCCACCCGCCCGCCGACGTCAGAGCCCAACGGATCTCATCTAATCGTCGAATCTTTCGCGGATCATGCTTGACAGTCCACGCGCTCCGGATCGCAGCCCTGGCAGTGGCGCGCCAAGTCCCTTCTCAGACAGGCAACATGTCCGGAATGTATGAGGATGTCAGGATGCGCATGGGGGGATACTGCACGACTGAGAGAGAGAGAGAAAGCTTGAGGCTGAGTGGGACGAGCACAAGAGTTGGCCGCAGATCTCCCAAACCCTAACCCCGAATATCTCTGCTTCAAACTTCACGCCTCTACTCGGACTATCACTCGGATGAATGCAGTTCCTTGGCGAGCGACGGGTTCATTCGCGACAGCATGGTTCAGTCCCCCTACGTGCGTCTGCAGGAGCGCGAGCGCTCCCGCCTGCTCCGGATATTCCGCCACCGCCCGTACCTCTACGCCGCGTTCGCCTGCGTGTCCGTCGTCCTCGTCTGGCAGGCCAAGCCGCACCAGTATGTGTCCGCGTCGTTCATGAGCGCAGACGTGGCATATGCGGAGGTCTCTGTGCTGCCTTCCGCCGTGACACATGCTGTCTCGGAGTCCGCGCCCACCAGTAGCTCGAGCTCGTCCCCGAGTCTCGTGCATTCGACTGCCCCGCCAGCTGCTGCAGCGACGCCTGCGGCAGATCTGCATTGGACCCAGCGCGCACAGGACGTCAAGGCTGCATTCTTGCACGCGTACCGCGGGTGGGAGAAATACGCCGCCCCGCACGACGAATTGTCGCCGTTGACACTCGCGTACAAAGATCCGTGCGTCCCGTCTCCGCCTCCCACGGCACCTCCGCTCACCCTGACGCGACGGCTAGATTCAACGCTTGGGGCGTGACCGCGGTCGACTCACTCGACACGATGCTGCTCATGGGCCTCGATGCCGAGTACGCCCGCGCCATGCCGCTGGTGTCCAACATCACCTTCGCCATGCATCCGGGCCTGTCGGCGTCATACTTCGAGACGGTCATCCGGTACCTGGGCGGCTTCCTCAGCGCGCATGCCTTGTCACGCGACCGCACCTTGCTCGATCTAGCCGAACAGCTCGCGGAGCAGCTGGACCCTGTGTTCGAGCGATACGACTCTCCGTTTCCTGTTTACGGCATCAACACGGAAGAGTGCGTGCCTTTTGCTTCCGAACCGCTTCGCGACATGTGCTCATGCGGTGCATGCGTAGCGGTAAGCTCAGTGGCGGGGAGTTTGGCGGGCTGGCCGAGATCGGCACTTTGCAAGTGGAATATCTGTATCTGGCCAAGGCGACTGGGAATAAACGTTGGTATGACCGGGTGAGTTGCGCAGCGACATCCTCCATGTCCTGCTCGACTAAGCGCTTTCACAGGCTAATGGGGTGATCGATGCACTCGCTAAAGCTGACGTACGGAAGTACGGCGGCATGCTACCCACTACTTGGAACCTGACCTCAGGCCAGCCAGTCGAGTGCGATGACACAGATGGACGTTGGACGCTTCACTGCCCACTGCAACTATCTGTTGGCGGCATGGCTGATAGCACGCACGAGTACCTGCTCAAAGAGTATCTTCTGACCTCCAAAACAGACAAGGCAAGCCTTGATATGTGTGGGTAGCGCAACGAAGCAGACTGTTCTCCCGGCTGACGAGTTCTCTGCAGATCTGCGTACAAGTACACACATCTTGACCAGCCTTCTGCACGTCTCTCCGGAACGCAATCTGCTGTATATGACGGACACGTCCTCGACGACGCATCTCCATGCCGCCGAGCCATCGCACAAGCTGGAGCACCTCTCATGCTTCCTGCCCGGTCTCCTCGCGCTCGGCGCGCATACGCTGCCGCTCGACGCGCTCGCCCCACGGCTGCACGAGCTGGGGAAGGACTTTGGCTTCGCATCGCGCGGGTACGACATCCTGTCCAAGCAGAAGTCGCTCAAGGAGCTCCATCTCTGGGCGGCCAAGGGTCTGGCCGAGACCTGCTACATGCTGTACGCGGACCAAGGGTCGGGCCTCTCGCCAGACGAGGTGATGATCTCCATCCCGTGGGGGGAGACGGAGGACGGGCGGTGGGAGGCAGGTAAGGTCCGGCTGTGGATCGATGAGGTGCAGGAATGGAGGACGTCGCTTGCGACGAACCAGGGGACGTTCAAGGGCCGCCGTTTCCCACCCGGCGTCGAAGAGAATCACCAGCCTGCACCGGAGACGGGTCCGCCCGGCCGGGACTACCTCGTCAGAACCGCGGGCTACTACCTCCGCCCGGAGGTGCGTTGCTACCCTTGAGGTTTCCGTGTCCGCAGATGACTCACGCCGTCTCTTCACAGACGGTAGAATCGCTGTACATCCTGTGGCGCGTCACGGGCGAGACGCGCTGGAGGGAGATGGGCTGGAAGATCTTCCAGGCGATCGAGCGGGAGTCCAGGACCGCATCGGGCTACGCGTCGCTGCAGTACACGGAGAAGTCGCCCGCGCCGCTGCTAGACGAGATGCCCAGCTACTTCCTGGCAGAAACGTGCGTTGCGTTGCGCTGATTCGGGTTTATTATACCCCCCCTGCGAGTCTGAGTCTGATCGTGTTTTGCAGGCTGAAGTATCTGTACTTGCTGTTTCTGGACGAGGATCCGCTTCCGCTCGACCAGTGGGTTTTCAATACGGAGGCTCACCCGTTGCCTGTATTCAGATGGACGGAAGAGGAGAAGGAGAAGTTCGGGATACCGTGAGGCGTTGCCGGGCCTGTTTTCGGCGTGCCTACTACTTGTACAGCATCTACTATAATATGGACGAGTTTCCACGCGATGAAATGATTGGAAAGGCAGAGGGATCCGCGGGGTGCTATCTGGTGAGTCGGACCGCTGATGAGGTTGAGAGCGGGACAAAACGTTCAAGGATTGTGATTACTTGATCGCCCCAATGTCAGAGCTCAGATCGGATCTTGAATCTCTACCCAGTTGTGTTCCCGCTAGCCGATTTGAACGACTGACCTCGTCATTACTAGTGACGCGCTCTACCAACTGAGCTAAGAGGGATGAGGACAGTCTCCATGACAGAAAATCAGCTAAAATTGGGGAGGCGCTCAGCCGGAAGGAATTGCCTTCCCTGCGGCTCTTGAAAACCTCATTAAGAAATGGGAGTAATTTTGGTTCGTTCTCAGCTGAGTGACGCGGATGAGTGGACGATCAAGGCTCTAAATGGTGCAGTACTCTACAATGTTCAGAAAGCGATCAGTCTTTCCTTCAGATGAGCGACCTTTCCGAATGTGCCAGTGCAGTGGGAGTACAAAGTGATTTCACCTGGGCCTTTGCGGGGAAGGAATATCATGTTCCCCATGTGGCGTATCATCCCACAGTCAATATTCAAGCTTGGCGAACTTCGCTCTCAACATTGTCTTCCAGCCTGTGCCGAGATCTCGTCAGCATTGTAGATATGTCTTGCTACGCATAGGGTAATTACTGCAAAGGTGATGAAGACAATGGATTGACCGCAGACAATTCGGTCTGGCTTCGATGGACGATCAATGACAGGAAATGGTGGCTTCTGCAGACAGATGTCTAAAACGGGACTCGAGCTCGGCTGTACCGTGAAGCATTGTTCTCTTGGGTGCGGCGGTATATATAAGAGAGCGATGTAGGGGCTGCATGGCCAGTAATCTCAGTTCAACCGGACATGGACATGGACACTACCAACTCAACCCCGACCCCCGCTGCCCCCTTCACCGGTCATCCGGAACGCCGTGTCGCAGCGCGCACTTCAGTGCCTATGCGCCCGGGAGCGAAGATGCGCCAGGAGCGCCGCGAGACGCGCCGCCGACTCGAGAGGACGGTTTCCAACGAGAACTTGGCGAACTTGGTGCGTTTCATTGGACATTAATCCTCTCCGGTCTCTCAAGCGCTTGGCAGGTTGAGGATCAGATGCTCAAGGCTGAGCCGATGCAGAGCGTCGAAGAACCCACCCCGCGCCCGGTTGAAGTCCCGCGTCCGATCCTCAAGGCTACGCCCGCCGTGCCGAAGGCAGCTGCTCCGGCCTACCGCGGTCCCCCGGTCATGGTGAGTCTCCTTCCAAACTCTTGTCAACCAATACTCACCGCCTCCGAGCCTGCGGCAGCCCCCACCTACATCCCACGCCCCGACCCACACGTGATCCCGCCGTTCTGCTTCGACAAGCTCTCCGATCTGCGCAACCCGCTCCTGAACCAGACGCTCCCGCGCTACCGCCCGCACACGTACCAGATGCCGCAGCCGTGCGCGAAACCGACCGCGGAGTCGCAGGCGCTACTCGTCGCGCGCGCGCGCCGCCAGGCGGACGTGCCGATTTATCGCAGCCATGCGGAGATTTGCGCGGAGCGCCAGATCTCGATGTGCATCGTCACTTCCCCAGATGACGATTAGACAAGAGACGTCTCCATTCCTTCTTTTTATGTGTATTCAAATCAGTATGATCTAAAATATGGACCGCAATTCTCCATGCAAATATCTGAGATCTCATAACGGACCGACTGGCGAGTGAGAGAAATATTAGGTAACAGTCTTGTTGATCAAAAGTATATTGCGTCTTTTTTTCCACGTCCCTCCGTCAAATCCATACATTAAGAGCTCACACATTGCCTGACTTGGAATACTGTGCAGAAACTGAGAGCCCAATGGGTCTCGGATGGAGCAAAAGGTCGCACCCGGGGTCGAACCGGGATCTCAAGAACTGATATCACGTGGAAGAATATTCAATCACGTGATCGCTCAAAATCTTGTGTGATGAGCCGCTACACTATGCAACCGTATCTGTTATGGCACTTCGAACGTACAAGAGTGCGGGGGGAATTGTGCCAGTAGGTGCGCAACAAAATCAATCACAAAGTTGTTGCCTGAATGTCGCGTCATCGTATACGACATCAAGTCAACGAAAGTCATTATGGGATCAATACTGCCCTAAACGGACTGATGGGGTGCAATCCTGACTCATGAGATAGATGGGCTGCTCTAGTGCTCATAGACCGACAGGCACCCCACGTCGGTGGGCCTACATGCATGCATTAGGGACCGCAATCTTGACACCCACACACCGATAAGCACGCACCCACACTGATCCTATGCACACGCAGTCGGACAAAAGAAATCTTTCGGGGGTGTATAAATAGATAAATACGTATACGTAAGTAAGGTATCCAACCGGGGTACAAGAAAGAGTGACAGTGAGAGCCGTACAGTCCGAGTGCGCAAGTAAGTGAGTGAGTAAGGATAAGTGATGAGTTACGAGCTTATGTAGGATACTTGCGATAACACGCAGCGGACGGTCCCCGAGCAAGGGAACTGATGTACACGGTACAGGGGTGAAGTTTCGGTTCTGTAAGGAGCGGAAGGAGCCGGCCGTCGGAAACCCGCGGAGACTCTGGACGGGGGGGGGCACCAGCACTAACTGAGCAGCAGCTAGACTGCGATGGGGCCGGTCGACTTGGTGTCACGGGCGGATTTTGTGCGGCGAGGCACCTTGGTCGGCGTCTCGAGCGGATCGGGGAGCGGCGGAGGCGGAGCCTTGATATGTGGGGCGGTGCACACCACGCTGAGCGTGTCCGACGAGTGCGTGAACGAGAGCCCGTGGTGGTGGTACATCGGCCGCGTGAACGCCTCTTTCGAGAGCGGCAGGGTAGCTTGGAGCGGTCCCAGAGCGTATGCGCCTGCAGGACGATCAGCACGCGCGAGTCTCAATACAGAAGATCGCAGGGGGGCGGGGAGAAGACAACGCACGGGCTGGGTAATGGCGCTTACGGCGCTGATAAAGCAGCAGCGACACCAGCAGGACAGCGATCAGGATAAACCCCCCAACGCTACCGGCTACTATCGCGATGATCCGTCGTCGGTGATCAAGTGCGGCTGAAGCGGGGCTGGAAACGCTGCCGCCGGCTACCGCAAGCGTCGCGTTCTCGTTGGCGAGGCGTATCGCCAGAGTGTGGGAGCCCGCTGCGAGCCGGGGGGAGGAATAGAGTTTTGAAGAAGACTGGTCGTAAAGGAAGGTGTGGTCAGGCTCGCCATCGAGGACGTAAAGTACTGCAGAGCTTGAGTGGGATTGGACCGAGCCAAACACGTCGATGCTCGTTCCTAGAAGACGTATGAGAACGCGGCCTCGACAACGGCTCGAAAGAGTGTCTGAGACGCACCCTGGAACTGGAACGAAACCGTCGCGTCTCGGTCGCTGGTGGAAAACGAGTTCCAGCTGCCATTGAGGTAGTGGACGGTGCTGCTATCGGGAGCGAATCGAACGAGCACGTCATCGTCGTTCATGTCGAGCGCATGAGACGAGCCGGAAAGTTGAAAAGCGTAGGAGGCAACCGAGTACAAGAACCCGCCAGGTTAATGTAGGGCGCCAGACAGCGCAACAGCTGATGAGATCAGAAACGTGCGGCGAGGAAGTGGACGAAGGAGGAATCGTGGATTCCGTTATGCCCTTCTTAGCAGCTTCGTGTAAATGACAGGTCCACCCGAGGTCCCGATGCGAGGAAAGAAGACTCCACTAGGCAATTATTACCAACGCCTCCAGCGCCGGGAAATGCTCAATCGAGGGCCACAACAGCGTAAAGATCGACACGACGCATTAAACCATTCCCAGATCGTGCAGAAACCCGAGAAACGGAAAAGAAATGGAGAGACCCTTCAGACACATGGGGCCCAGCCATGAAACGTACGGTGTCCCTCTCCGGCTTCGGAAAGACAGATCCGGTAAGAAAAGCACAAGGGCGACGACGGCGTTGCAGTCTTCAGAGTGGCGCAGTCCAGGCCAAGACAGATCTGCACATTGCACATTGCGGTCGTGACGTGGACACTGTATGTTTTCGATTGCTGATCCGATCAGCCGCTCGACTCGAAAGGCGACGACCGAGTCCCGCGGCTCGGTGCCATCCGACAGCCTTGTCCTGGTCTCTTTCCGACCATCGAATCGTCGATGCACCGACACTGTGCGACTCTTCTAGCGCGCCAGTGACTCCCTGAAAACATTCGGCCCCGCAGCGATGACAGCACGCTCTCAGCCTTCTTCTGCTCGGCTCGTTTCAGCTTCGAAAACCTTGTCCGGATGCTGTGACTGAGACTGAGAGTACTTCAGTGGGGCTCGAGCACTGTGCCACCCTCACCCCGCTCTCAATGCACCTCCACACGACGTCAGCAGCTGCACTCGCCCTCTTACCCATCGCACTGGTGGCGGGTGCGGACACACTCCGGGACAAGCACTGCGCCCCGCCCCTGAAGTCTAGCTTCACGCACAACACATATACGTACACGGTCCCGCTGCCCCAAATCACCCAGATCACCAAGGACTTCTTCGACATCGAGTGGTACGTGCGTGCCCATCCGCTGTCCACTCCGTGCGCGGTCCTAACGCGCGTCTCAGGGCGGCGTCGTCGTGAGCACACACACCGGCCGGAACGGCGTTCCTGGTGCGACGCGCTCGGGCAACTTTACAGGCGGATCGTTCCACGAGACTCTCACGGAATACACGCTCCGGCCCGACGCATTCGCGTACGCATACAGCGGCGTCCCATACACGTTCGCCCCGCCGCACGCGCAGCCCGTCCATTTCGGCGTGTACGCGGAGACGCTGCGCTTCGAGAGCGTCTGCGGCGGCCGCGCGACGTACATCGATTTCCAGACGTGGTCGTGCGTCGACGATCGCCCGGCGGGGTACAACTTCTGGTACACGCTCCATCAGACTGGGGCGGAGAGCCTGGCGCAGACGCTCAAAGCCAACGTGCTTGCTGGGGATTGCGATTAGGCGGGGATGGATTGTGTAGGATGAACGCGTGCTGCCAATGTGTCAATTGAATGAATGAATGCGATTTCGACTGGATCGGTGTACGGCACTTTCCGCGTCGTTTTCGCGGTTCATCTCGGTGACCACGGCATTCTAACACAAGTGCTATTGCCTCGGTCCTGCTGTCGCAGCTTCTATCATCTGCTAATGCTTGCTGATATCACTGATAGTACGTGAACCGATCATGAACGGTGCGTGAAACGTTCTCCGTGTCTCTGTTTGTGGACACAGGATTCACGTCCCCATTCGATGTCTCGGTTTGCGCATCGACTTTACTGCGCGTTTCTCAGAACAGTGGAATGGGATTGATGATCTATGCAGTTGAAAGTGTTTTCAATCCCATGTCGCGACGCGATCCAGAACACGGGCGAAGATCCTCACTAAAACCCCCCATCGAGAATCACTTTCCTTAGATCAGCGATGAGGTAGATTGACGCCACCTTGCAGTTCTACGTTCTTTTATCTTTGGTGTGGGTAGAAGAGGACAAAAGACGGATCGACTTTCACACGCATTCTTGCTGACCTTGCGTCCCGCGTCCGAGTCGATTTCCAAGGGAGTTTGAGACACTGGGTGCAGGTGGGATGTCTTGTAAGATACGGAGTCCGTCGATCTCTATTCCTAACTGCTATCTATAACAATAGTTTCTACTCAATTTGGAGAAGGACACCAATCCCATGACGCAGCGCCACTCATCTCGTATACCTCGAGGAAACACTCAGCTTCGTTGATATGACATGATGCCCTGTTTCTTCTCGGTGGCCGTAAGCTGTATTAAGAACAATTGAGCCCCCCAGAACGAGAGAACTGTGAAGCTCAAAGTTCCCATGTATCTCCTCCACGCAGTATCCATCTCTCCCCTGCTGGCGATCGCACTGGCGGCCGCACACGAGCAGGAGGATTTTACACTCCTCGACAAGCCTTGTGCCACAGAGCTGAATCTCAACTCGAGCTTCATACACAGCGCATTCGCATACTCCGTCCCCTTGCACCAGGTCGCCCCGATCGTGCAGAACTTCTTCGACATCGAGTGGTATGTACGTACCCCCGCTCCTTTCCAAACACCCACCGCGCCCGTATTGAATCAGCTGATCCACGGGGCGGCATCGCCATCACCAATCACACGGGCCAGAACGGCGTCCCCGGCGCGACGCGCTCGGGCATCCTGACGGGCGAGCCGTTCCACGAGACGCTCACGGAGTACACGCTCCGCCCCGGCGCGCTCGCGTATTCGTACTTCGGCGTCCCATACAGATTCGCGCCCCCGGGCGCGCCGCCCGTCTTCTTCAGCGCCTATGCGGAGACGCTGCGCTTCGAGAGCATCTGCGGCGACGCGGCAACTCTGATCGACTTCCAGTCCTGGTCGTGCGTCGATTTTCGCGCGGGGGCGTACAATTTTTGGTACACGCTGCACCAGACTGCGGCGCAGGGTCTGGCGGAGAGGTTCGGAGCGAACGTGCTTGCCGGGGATTGTGAGTAGACGGGGGGATGCGTAGGGATGTCACTTGGTGGCAGTGCCTTCATTGATTGAATCTTATTCTGATGTGGTTTGGTCAGTGCTAGAGCTGGTCGAAAACCAAGAATTAGCTGAGTGTG